GAGAGGCCGTACACCTGCTCCGTGTGCTCCAAGTGCTTCCGTCACTCAGGGGCGTTAACCAGGCACTTCCGCATTCACACCGGAGAGAAGCCTTACGTTTGTGGACAGTGTGGGAAGTCTTTCAGGAACCCTGGGGGGCTTAAATTCCATCAGCGTTCACACAACAAGTAGCTACAGCAAAGAGAGACTCAATGGTTTATGTTACATGAAAGTAGCGGTATCATATTTAATATAATGCTCAATATGTTTTTAAACAGTTTTGTAGCATTTGACTGACTGTATACCCAATAGCGGATGTTAATATGTGATACTGCGAAGGCTTTATGAATTTTACTTTCAATCCTTTATCCAGATTATGAGTCACTTTTAACAGGTTTTAAGTGTAGACCTCAGCAGACGAAGCGCAAATCATAGACTGGATATAAATATGGACAACATGTCTCCATCTCCTTCACTTTCACAAAAATGAAGCCAAAACACCTCCTTCAAAAGCGCTGACATATTGCATTGGTGATGTCAGTTTGAGCCAATGACACGGGATCTGGCTGGTGGAGCCACAGAATTAGCACACGGCCTTTTCCGCAAACCAAAGCACACGATAAACTTATCGCTAAAACAGCAAAGATCCCTCACGGTGGTAAAGTCCACAGCAGAACAGATTCTTGTGTCGGTTTGGAGCAAACACTCGTGGTAATGGGAGGTTCGATGAATTAGTTTTCTCTAACGTTCTTCTTCGACTCTGTTTATCGCATAAAGACCGCTGCAGGACCCTCATTTGTCAACAGAGTCATGATGTCATATCCGGCTTTTTTCACATCACATAAATTAAAACAAAACCGCTCAGATGACCGAACGCTTGGACACAAATCAAAGTAAGAACTAACTGTGATGACAGAAACCACGTTTGATAAAAATGTATTTGATGTTTATTTTAATGTTAAAGTTTGCCCCATGTGTCATCTGTTAACATGGAGGAGGCGGGGTTTATAACCTGTACTGAAGCCGTTATAACTGTCAACAGAACAGGGGGAGCTCCAAATACTTTGGCTTCACTTCTCTCCCACTCTTGTGCTGCCCAATCTGTATACAGTCTATAGTATGAGTACCCTTAACTATCTGTTTAGTATATAGATGGTACATGACACTCTGATATCAGATTGTTAAGTCATTCACGGCCAGCGTATCATGATGTAACCTACAATGAGTCTCTGGCTTCTTTAAACACTGCTAGGTCAAAGGAAACCGTCCAATAATAATATCTCTCCACGTCTGACCAAGGAGATAAAGAGTATTGTTTTCCTGTTTAGTCTGCTGTTACTAAATCAAATGAAATTATTATTCAGTGTTGATGTTTTATGAATCACTGTCCTCATTAGTACAAACTGAAAGTACAAAGTACAAAGTATAGCTTTTTGATGGGGTGGAAACTGTTCAATGCTATATTTTCAAGCAAGTCTTACAGTGGTTATTACAGAAAAACACTTATTTTCTTTTTTCTGGTGCAAATGATGTATGTTATTTTGACTACAGTGTATGGAAAATCACTTAATTTATTTAATAAAAGTATGAAAATGGCTCAATTGATTTATGTTACTGACAAAACTGTAAGCTGGTAGTCCTCCCTAGTGTATCTAAAGCAACCATCCTCTCACATGTCCCTGCAAGGTTTTATAACACAAACAACTATTCCAGAAGTGCCCCAAGAAAGAAATGACCATGATGATGCTGGAAACTAAAGACTACAAAGATCAGACAGACATGGACATGGTATGAAAAAACGTGTGACTCCACAGCTATCAGGCCTCCCAGTGCTCTCAGCTCACTGAAGAAGGGAGGTCTCTTAAAGCTACAGTAACCTAAAGCAACAGATTTATCAAGAATAAACAAAACAGCCATTAAAACATGTTAAAACACTAAATCAAATAATAAACTGTATTTGCCATTACAATGAGTATTTTTCTTATATAAAACACACCAACTCTAAAAGAGTATTATTAAACGAATCATAAGAAAACATCGAGCCAGTCCTTGCCTCATACAAGGGGCCAAAGTATATCAGCTTTTTTGAACCTGTGTCAATAAACATGTGACTTTGAAAGTCTAAATGCTGTCACACTTTAAAGTAGTCAAAGATAGCAGAAGATGAAACCAGGTCTGGTTAAGAAGCAGCCTTTACGGAGTCCTCCTCTACAAGTCAAGTCAAATGTATGATGCCATTTGAGGGTGACAAAAATGGTTTTATATATATATATATATATATGTATATCCAGACAATATCACACAGGAGGGATAGATGTATTGTACAGCTGTGATTCGGTTGTAGGTACAAGGCCGAATGATAATTACAGTGGTGCTGATTTCCAGCTCCACTTAGATAGATAGATAGATACTTTATTGATCCAGAGGGAAATTCAAAGCATCCAGTTGCAGGCTACAAAGACGTACATGACATGAAACTTTTGTTACAAATTAACCACAAAAGTCTGTTACTCTGTTTGTTTCGCTGGTTACCACTGACCTGTTTTTGTATCATGCAACCGGTAAAATAAGAGCTGTTGTGTGATGAGGTTAATTAATAAAGACAAACACTGTCTGCAGTAATGCTAATTAGAGCTCAACCTACCGATATTAGCCTACCCAGTGGCTATCGGCTACTTTTGTTCTAGATATGTGCCGATATTACTAGATTTATTCACCAGTCAAAAAGCATTTCATTAGAGTTTCACTGTATTACAGTAGTAATTCTCTTTCACCAGCAGAGGGCGCTACATGGATTTCAAGCATTATGACTCTCCAGAGTGTCAAGCGCTGATGCACGTACATGCGTAGTTACTTTTCAGTTGAGTGACCGTCTTGTCTTGGTTATATATATTTTCCCCAAGTGCTTTGAGGGTGTTTCTGCATTTGAGGGATCAACGCAATAAATGTGTAAATATATATCTATCTATCTTTATCTACAGATCAAAGATAGATCTAAGATATCGGCTGATATATCGGTATTAGATTTTTTCTCTCCCCAAAAATCCTGTATCAGTCAAGCCCTAAAGCTTATTAACTGTATTCAAAACTCCTGCATGAGGCCGATATCAGCACTCATAGGATTCCCTTTGTCCAATCAGATTGCTTGGATGGAACTCAAGCATTATTTAACGCATTATATAACTAGTTAACACATGTCATTTCACACTTTGTAATCAAAGTTGTGGTGGATGTTTACTTTTATAACCTATATACATAGAATATGGACGCAATATTACTAAAACTATTCTGGGTTAAACCACAACTCCCATAATGCACATGCCATATATTCTAGTATAACAAAGCCATAATCTATGAACATTGAAAAAAAAAAATTAGACAATGTGTTAAATCTGTTAGACAATGGGTTGAAGTTCACTCTGATGAATTGATCACTGGCTGGGGGCTCCTTGACTGAGTTAGGAACCAGAGAAGTGTATTCAGCAGAGACGAATTCATGCTGATCAGTCACCTCTTTCTGTGAAGGAGGAAGTGCCACAAATCAAGAGAACGAAAACAGCCTAATGGTCTTCTTTGGACGAGTTATGAGGGGTCAATAAACATGCAGTCAACAGTTACACAACTTCTAAACCTTTGATGTCCTGAGTGTATTGTGAAGTTCATTGATCATTTTAAGTTTCAGTGGAGAATGTGAAGAAGAAGATAGGCCCGCTCACTTGATTAAATGCGACAAAAAAAGGTTTTTATTAATCCCAATGTTTCGACCAGAGGTCTTTTTCAGGTGATGATTTTTTTAACAAAGGGGGGGGGCTCGTATATATATACAGTATATATATATATACACATTTTTTACACCAATGGCTGAAAGGCACTATGATGGCAGGTGTGGTCAAATATTCAAAACGTCCCAAGGTGAAACACATCTCACCTTTCAAATATAACATCAGGAAAAATACAAGGTGAACATACAAATAAATACATGAACAACAACAAGAACATACATTAATGTTAATATGCGAAGGACAGTAAACACATCTGATTTGTTTGTTTAATGACAGATGTTTACATGTTCTAATTTAGTCATTTTAAATATATTTTTATTTTTTAACAAGTTTTAACAATGTACATATTTAATAGGTTATATTTAAAAACATTTTATAGTGGAGAATGTTGCCATACTGTGTAAAAACACATCCACACACAAACAAATGCAGACGTACACACACTGTGCCTCTATTTCAATATTAAATCATCTAACCAAACGACTGAGTCTGCAGACAGGTAGAGCTTGATTGGAGCAGACTCTCTCTGGGGGAGCTGGAATAATTAAACCCTAATGAAATGTTTAGCAGCTTCACTATAAAGTATATTAGTACATCATTATTTACACTATGGCAGCAGAAATAAGAGGATGTTTTGTGTCTGACTCCACACTGAAGAAAAAACATGAAGCGTGTGTGTGCCTTTACATTTTTGAGTGAGGCAGGAATGAGTAGAAGTTGAAGTAAATGTATATTCAACTGTCTAAGTGTACTTGCTTGCTTTATTATGCATCTAATTGCAAATGTATGGATAGTTGAATATATCCATGTCTACATATATAAACCTGCTCTTTGAATGTGAAGTTATTGTGTTTTCCTGCCCATGCATATGAATAATTATAACAAACTTGACCATCGTCTTTTCTCTCTCTTTTTTGTAACTGACTAAATATTGCACAACTTTATTTACATATAAATTTCCACTGAGCATGAAATAAAATAAAAAAAATGTTTGTGTGTGTGTGTGTGTGTGTGTGTGTGTGTGTGTGTGTGTGTGTGTGTGTGTGTGTGTAATTGAAGTCACATCCTGGCCTACATTATCTTTGTCTGAGTTCATCTCTTTAATCCCCACTAAACACTGAAAGAAGCTTAAACGACGTGGTTTATCAAAGTGCACACACAGTCAATATGATGATAGCACTCCGCAGCTGAGAAATCATTTGACTCTGTGATCGACTGTGTGAGACGGAATCCTGTTTCTCTGCTATCCATTACGCGGCCTGGATTAAAGGAGGAAGTGGACGTCCTAGGAGTAACACGGAGCTAACGAAGCTAACAGAGACAACAACCCGTCCTCAAACAAACACAACTGCTTTTTCCGTCGTGGTTTCTCTTCAGACAGCTTGCCTCTTATATAAAACAGCTCGTCTTTAACACGTTTGTGCCCACGGAGGAGGGCAGGCTGCTGTCATGTGTAGCAGGCCGGTTGCATTAGGAGGATCTTGCTTCCTCCAGGCGGATGAAGTCGGTGAGACTCGCTAGTTGCGCCTGAGTGAGCTCCTCTCCTCTCAGCGCCGTTGCTGCTTCACAAGTCGGCTGTTGTGGTTCAGACAACTCGGGGTAAGTGTCCCTCTTACTATATAGAGATAGTTAGGCTGAAATATCATGTTGCTACAGTGTCAAGTTAACTTTCCTGTTTGACAGCTTCTCACAGGCCAATGAAATATAAGCACTCATTTTAGGAGATGCTGCTGGTTTTTTTTTTTTTTTTGCGGCTGGTTAAGGTTGTTAAAAGTTTAATTTGACACGATTATGCAAATGAGTATATTCAGCTATGAAGTGTAGTCAAAATGAACTCCTATGAAGTTATGATTACTTATGTTGAACATCACGACCTCAAGTACAAATACAAGCGAAAGTATGTTTCCGTATGTGCAAAACTACAAACTAAAGTAGCTCTTTTGAGACTTACTTTGTATTAGTATGGTCACTGTTTAATGATCATCTTAAACTAAAGCTATTGCACCCCACTGATAGAGATCAATCTTGCCTCTGCAAAGATAGTATTGCTAAACATGTTTTCCTGCATATCTTTTCTTCAAGCTTTGAAGAGTTTTGTGCTTGTGTTGGGTGTGGCAGACTTTTGCTTTCTTCAACTTTTATAATGTTGAATCCTAATTAAATTCAGCCCACTGTGGGCCGCTCCGTTACTCTGACATCTCTCCCTTAGTGCATGTCCATAGGATCCTGTTTGTGTGCATGTCTGTATATACTTCAGCCTATGTGTGTGTTGCATGACTACAGAGTGTAAAAACTGAAATTCAATAATAATAAGAACTCAATAAAAAGTCAATCTTAATCTTTACTGCATGAGTAACTACACCTAACTGTGATGTTATGGTGTACAATTCTACAATTCACTTAGCAGACGCTTTTATCCAAAGTGACGTACATCAGAGAGTAAGTACAACACAAGCAAGGATCTAGAAAAAAGGGAACAATATCAGTATGGAGGAGCCCGTTTTGTCGCTGTTTTGTAAGCGAGCAGCAGAGTTTTAAATTTGATGCGAGTAGTAACTGGGAGCCAGTGTAAGGAGATGAACAGCGGAGTGACATGTGCTCTTTTAGGAAGGTTGAAGACCAGTCGTACTGCTGCATTTTGTATCATTTGCAGGGGTTTGATAGTGCATGTAGGAAGACCTGCCAGTAGAGAGTTGCAATAGTCGATGCGTGATATCACAAGAGCCTGTACCAGGAGCTGTGTAGCATGTTCTGACAGGTAAGGTCTGATCTTCCTGATGTTGTACAGGGCAAATCAACATAACCGGGCAATCGAGGCTACTTGAACCTTAAAAGTTAGCTGGTCATCAATCATGACACCTAGGTTCCGGGCAGACTTTTTGGGCATGAGTTTGGTTCTTCTAAGCTGGATATTGATCTGTGGTTGCATAGAGGGACTGGCTGGGATGACAAGGAGCTCAGTCTTTGAAAGATTGAGTTGAAGGTGCCGTTCATTCATCCATTTAGAGATATCAGCAAGGCATGATGAGATTCTTGCAGAGACTGTAACATTATCTGGTGGGAATGACAGGAAGAGCCAGGTATCGTCAGCATAGCAGTGGTATGAGAAGCCATGAGAGCAGATTATTGAACCAAGTGACCTTGTGTATATGGAGAAGAGAAGGGGACCAAGCACTGACCCTTGAGGTACCCCTGTGGATAAGCTGTGCGCTTTGGACACTTCTCCCTTCCACGACACTCTAAAGGATCGCCCAGAGAGATAGGACACGAACCAGCAGAGGGTAGATCCTGAGATGCCAAGTTCAGAGAGCGTGGATAGGAGGATTTGATGGTTGACTGTGTCAAAGGCAGCAGACAGGTCTAGCAGTAATAGAACTGATGACTGACCCGCAGCTCTGGCAGCTCGTAGCGATTCTGTTACTGACAGTAGTGCAGTTTCAGTAGAGTGGCCCAGCTTAAAGCCTGACTGATTTGGGTCAAACAGATCGTTTCTGGACAGGAACTCAGAGACTTACTTAAAGACTGTGCGCTCAAGTATTTTTGACAGAAAGGGCAGAAGAGAAACCGGTCTGTAGTTTTCAACCTGGGCTGGGTTTAGTGTGGGTTTTTTGAGCAGAGGGGTGACCCGAGCTTGCTTGAATACGTTGGGGAACACACCCGTTGACAGAGAGGAGTTGATGATATGCTTAAGTGCAGCATTAAGCGGAGAGGAAATGGTCTGCAGGAGGCTTGATGGTATTGGGTCCAGAGGACAGGTGGTGGGCTGAGAGTCTAGCACAAGCTTAGAGACTTCATCCTCAGTCAGAGAGGACAATGAGTCGAGTGAGGCACTTTTGGTTGGTGCCTTTGGACTGAGTTGGTCAGGCTCAGAAAACTGGTTACTGATGGTTGCAACCTTTTCAGTAAAATACAAGGCAAACATGTCTGGTGTGAACAGATCGGAGGGTGGAGGAGGAGGTGGTTGAAGCAGTGAGTTAAAAGCAGAAAACATTTTTTCTTGTATCTGTGGCATTGCATATCTTCTTCTGATAATATGTTGTCTTGGCCGTTTTCAGGCTGGAGGAGAATGAGACAAGTCTTTGCTTATAGTCATTGAGGTCAGCGGACTGTTTGGATTTTTGTCATTTTCTCTCTGCTGACCTCAACCCTGCTCTTTGCTCTCTTATCACTTCCGAGAGCCATGGACTAGGGTGGGTTTTGCAAGCGGGTTTGGACACCAGAGGGCAGAGCTTGTTCAGAGATGAGGCTAGTGTGGAGCAGAGTGTGTCTGTAGCCTCGTCTGTAGAGAGTGCGGTAAAGACCTTGTGGGCAGGCATGGCAGCCATTACCTCGTTAGACAGCTGAGCTGGCTTGAGCTATCGCATGTTTTGGTGGTATGACACCATTTGTGGTACACCGCCTGGAGTGATGACAATATGACATGCAACAAATTAACAAATGTACAATTTTTGGTTTTAACATAACCTATACATTTCTGGTGTCTGGTATTTTCTTTCACAATACCTATCTTTGTAACACTTTGTACTCTTGAATCTTAAAATTTCCAAATTGCCAAAGTGCTTCTTCTCATCACAAGGTGTTGGTGGACCAAATGTCCCTCTCTCTTTTCCTCTCCTCAGTTGTGCGATAGCTAACCTAACAGTCTGCACCATAATGAAACTAATTGATCCCAGAGTAGCTAAAGGCCAGCTAGGGCTTTATCTTAATTGTCAAATGGTTTAAATGCACGCCACATGGACCCAGGGCTGCATCTGATAGCTCATGTGAATGCATGTTGCATGTACTTTGAACACTTTATTATTAATTGTGAGTCAATAATGTTTTTTTTATTATGTATGTTAATGTTTATGATGATAAAAATGAAATGTGATTGACTGAAAGGTCTCTGCCTCTCTGAACTAAGAGTCTGGTGTCAGTGGCAGGGTTTCTCAGGTTTATCTCTTCAGGTGTGTTTGACATCAACATGTCAGGGATCTTTTGCTTTTTCACCATTTCAATCCAGCCTGTTTCCTTTTCCTCTGCCTGTACAGGAATGGCGATGCACAACACCGGAGTGTCCCAGGACCCCTCACAGGGTGCAGGGGAAGGAGCCGAGCTGGTGCACAGATTATCCAAAGAGACCCCTGGGTCTCCAGACGCCTCTGAGCTTGGGAGCCCGCGGTGTACACAGCACTTTGATCTCCTCAACATGGTTGTGTCCTATAAGAGAATGGCCCTGTTTCTAGAACCGGTCACAGATGCAGTGGAGCTGATGCGCTTCCTGCTCGGGTGTGTATGTGTGTTTGTGTGTGGCTTGTTTGAGCATCATATGACATCTTTGTTTTGTCTATGAATAGAAAGGCCTACTCCGTTTCTATATAATATTTATTGCCATCTTCTTTTATTCATCCCTCAGATGGAAGATGCCTGTGTGCTCTCTGCTGGCCTGTGTATTCCTCAATGTCTTCTTCTGCACTGTGACTGAAGGTAACATGAGGCTCTAGGCCTTCATATTGACTTTTGTTTGGGCGGTTTAATTGAATAATTTATTAACCTGATGCTGTGTCTGCCTCTCTTCTATCAGTGGGTTGGTTTACACTGGGTGTGTTGGCGCTGTCGGTGCCTGCGGCCCTGGGTTACCTGCAGGACAGGTGTGGGGGCCGAGCCTCAGAAGCTGAGCTGCAGAAGAAACATTTTCATGCAGTGCAGCGCAGAGACCTGCAGACGGTGCACCTCACCAAACAGGAGGCCATGCTGGAAGTCAAAGACCTGTAAGACTGGGCTCACTAGGGCTGGGTGATATCTAAAAATCTGATCCTGATCTTTTTTTTTACTCGATTAATCGAAGTCAATATTTGTCATCATTCAATTTAATTTGATAATGCTGCCAGGTTGAGGAGTATCCTGATAATGACGGAGCGTTAAGGAAATGGAATGGTTCTCGAGTTGAACTTTAGAACCTGGTTTGTTTACATGTTCTGTAGTTGTCCATCAGAAACTTTTGAACCAGTCTTTTTTTAAAGACATAATGTTTGCACCTTTGCACCGGTCTCTCAAACCAAACCTTCCTCAGTGCATCACTTCTCCTCATCCCCCACCCCTCTCCCAGTGTTCTGACTGAGGGCAGCCGTTTGTGGGACTGATATCCATTCTGATATGCAGCCCAATGATCATTCTGTTCTCATTTCTTGAAATATTATATTTAAGTATTTTAGATCAGACTAAGTTTTTCCTTCAGTTTGAGAAAAAAAATAAAACTGGTACGAAAAATGTCAGCGAAAACCTTTATCAATACAATATTATACAATATTATACAATTTCCTGAAATCAAAAGTCATGTCCTGAGGTCATGCAGTAGTCCAACCCCCCCCCCCCCAAAAAAAAAATGTGTTTACGACTACGATGAACCAAAAATATCACAAGAAAATTATTACTTTTAAGAAGCTGCAGCTGAGCAGTGTTTGATATTTTCTCTTGAGATTTTAATTAAAAAATAAATAAATTGATGAAACAAATACATGTCTGTAGTGGCTTGATCTTGCCAATCAAAACGTTTGAGCCGCTGTGGGACGTAGAGCCTACCGTACCTTAATTGACACGTCGTCTTCCGTGTTGCGTGGCAATAACTCAAGTCAACTAATCCGTGCTTGCCACACTCAAACGGGTTTAATCTGAATCGTCCAGTAACAACTTATCTTCTGGTCGTCTTCATACAACTTGAACGCAAAACTAAAGCCAGGCTAAATGTTCAATTCATGTTACACTACTCACGTTAGGCTGCTCCCCTGTCAGTGTTTACCCCTTCCTCTAATTGTACCTTTTCCAACACCAAAGGCAGTATGCCACCTACTACAAGGAATTACCACAGAGAGCACACATACTGTATATATAGAACACACAAATGGCTCTAACAATGTCAATAGTTTATTGACTATATCATTATTTGTGTGTGGATAGCACTTTGGTGTCACTTCACTTTGTGCTGTTTTTCATCCCAAGTCACCTAATTAACATTCACACACATTCACCGTTTCTCACCAAAACACAAAACATTGTGTTTCCTTGAGGTTTACACTGCAGCAGTGTCTGTATTCACAGACTCCAAAGGATCCAGTTTAAACTTTCTTATTTTCTTTGTAAATTACCATTAGAAAACCTGCCATCATACAATTATTATCTAATGAACAATGATTAGGTCTAACTTGAAACTGGAACTGCTTCATGTGTGGGTTGAAGTGTGTCTTTGTTCTCACTCTTGTTTGTGATTGTGGGTGTGTTTCTTTTTCCTCGTCAGGTTGAAGCACCTGGACGACATGTTGTCATCTGCCTGTCTGTCAGCTGAGGCAATTTACAAGGTCCTGTACTGGGATAATCACACCAAGTCATCAAGGTCTGCTCCTACACAACACACAATATCACCGAGTGTACTACTCAGCATATACCAACCAAGTTCTTTATTCCATGTATACTATACTAGGATGTATCGCACAACATCAAGCTCATCCTGACACTTGTACTACCTCCCTTTAGGTTTTATGGCGGGGTGTTAATCCTGGTGTGTCTGCTGTACGCCGCTCCAGTGGGCTGGCTACTCGCCGGGCTCAACAGCACCATCTTCCTGTGGAACAGAGACTTCTGCAGAGGTTAGTCCATCCCATCCCAAAGGAGCTCATATTCAAAAGCACACACATATTTATATACATGAAGTTATAAAGCAGAATTATGTGTTTTGTCCTGTGCCTCCAGTTTTGATGGACCTTCGGAAGCTCACCCACATGGGACAGACCGTGGCCTTGGAGGGGACGGCGGAGGACCAGGAACTGTGCAACTTACTGGACAGGACGCCCACACCAACAAGTCTGGAGGTGAGAGGAAGGAGCGGGGCGGAGAAAAGTGCATGTGTGTGACTACTGAGGGATTGAATCGATTTTACTTCAGTAATGGCTGTAAGCATCTTATTAGTTTCTGCCATGCTCTGGATGTATTGTTCCAGTCATCATGAGGCAAACCCATGCACAGTTTAGACCATCCAACTGTGGAGCCGGTTGTTCTATTTGGAGTTGAATCTCTCACTGTGGCGTGGATGAGATCAGAGTAATGAGATCGGAGATCAGAGATCAGAGTAATCAGAGTACATTTCCCTGAAGCCTCTGGCTAATCACAAGCTAACTGCAAAGTAAAAAGTCATGAAGGTGATCAAGGTTAAAGAACATTTTTGATCATCCTATGATATAGAAAAAAGGGGGTAGTTATACGCACATCACGGAGGTGCAGTGCAAAAGCAGCAGACTGAGGAAGAAGATATGTGGTCTTACAGTTGATCAAATGGCATAAAAGGGCCGGAGTAGTTCAGTCTGCAGGGACTTGGGTTGGGAACTGGAGGGTCAGGGGTTCAAGTCCCAATGCGAACCAAAAGTATGGAAGCTGGTCTGGTAGCTGGAGAGGTGCCAGGTCACTTCACGACTACTGTTGAGGTGTCCTTGAGCAAGGCACAGAAACCCCAACAACTCTGGTGCGCTCCCTGTGTAGCAGCCCCACTCTGACATCTCTCCACTAATGCATGTCCACAGGTCCTGTTTGTGCATGTGTGTGTTTTTATGTCCTATGTGTGTGAGAAGCATGTCTCTCAATAACAGAGGTAGACCCAGAATTTCCCTCAGGGATAAAAAAAAAAAAATGTAAATGTTTTTATTCCATCAAAATCTCAACATTTCAACCAGAGCTCTTCTTTCAGGTGTTTCTTTTTTCCTACCATCCTATCATATCCCGTTAAATTTACAATCGCAGATGAATCACCCTCACCTACATTCAGTGAATAACCACACTGAGTGTCGAGAAGCTACCTTAATGGAACTTTTTAGCCTGCTATTAATATGTTTAAGATCCTGTAAACGTGTTTAAGGGCTAAAATTTGTGTGTGTGTGTGTGTGTGTGTGTGTGTGTGTGTGTGTGTGTGTGTGTGTGTGTGTGTGTGTGTGTGTGTGTGTGTGTGTGTGTGTGTGTGTGTGTGTGTGTGTGTGTGTGTGTGTGTGTGTGTGTGTGTGTTGTGTGTGTGTGTGTGTGTGTGTGTGTGTGTGTGTGTGTGTGTGTGTGTGTGTGTGTGTGTGTGTGTGTGTGTGTGTGTCTGTGTGTCTGTGTCTGTCTGTCTGTCTGTCTGTCTGTCTGTCTGTCTGATGACAGGACCTGTCTCCTGGCAGTGTGGAGGAAGCTGAGGAGGCGGAGCCTGATGATGAATTTAAAGATGCTATTGAGGTAAATACTCCTCTAACTTTGATTCAGGGGGTAATACAGGTGGTTTTCTTAAATGCCCCTGTCAGTGTGGTGTTGTAGTTCTTATTTTTTTGTCTATTTCTATCTCTTCAGAATAATATATAAGATGATGGATTAACAGACACCGGGGAGCCTGATAACTGTCACACAGTTAAAATCTAGATTCTGGGGCACCGGTAGTCTAGTGAGCCCACCCCATGTGTGGAGGTTCTCCAAGCGGGGCGGTCTACGTGGAGGGCGTGATGCCGCTTATATCACGCGACTAGTGACTGACTGGTGTTTTTCATCGTGCATGTAATCAAGCTGCTCTTTACTCTTTTCTGCTAACAAATATGAACTTTACCTCTCATTCCCTGAATTCATCCACTTATAAGAAGCATTGATATAAAAGCAAAACTTTCATCATAGCGTTGAACAGTGTTCGTCTGCCATTACCCCGTCCCGCCTCCTGAGTCCCTGTCTCCCGAGGCCCCGCCTCCAGGAATGCTTTTTCTAAAAGTTTTCTGAAGTGCATGTTTGAAAAGAGTTTGTGTGCTGCATGAGAGGGGGTTTAAAAATGTTCTGCAGCCTCTCTTAAATAAATGTGGCAGGAAGAAACTTTACATCTTTGAATGACGTTCCTTAAAACCATCTTATATGTTACCTCCTCTTTTTTCTCTGCTGCCCTCTGAACTCAGGAGCATTCATTGTCCCTGCAGGTGAGTGCCCCCCCCCCCCACCTGCCTGTGTGGAACAACCTGACCCATGAATGATGACTTGATGTGTTATAACCTGTTGACCTCGTAGTGTACTTCTCGCTGTGCCCTGTGAAGCATGGTTGGGGTACTCTCCTGTGTTCACTCTCACATTGTGTAACTTTGTTCTCGTGTGTTGTTCTGCCTCCTGGTTAGGAAACCCCTCTGGTCTTAGTGGTAAGTGGATTTCATCCATCCATCCATCCATCATTCCCTCCATCCAGTCACGTGTTTGTTCATTTGGCACGAGTTATGTTGCAGTGATAAATCCCATCACACAGGGTGCTTATTCATGTGGAGTCTGCATCACTGCCATTGTTCATGAGACAGACTGAATATCAGCTTTTCTTTCTTCAAGCCGTTTCATGGACAAAAAGCTGCAAACGTTCATATCAAATGACAACCCATGACACATACAACGTGCTGCTAAATGACCTTTATACTAGAATCTCTGTCAGTTTACTGGTGTCTAATATTGCTGCTGTGTTTTCTTCACGTTCTGCTTTTCAACACACAGCGAGCAGAAACAAGTTCTCCTGCTCCCTGTTTGTTAAGGGTGGGAGATTCTCTAACACATGGAAGAAAATATATTTTCTTTCCTATGATGTCTTCTCACTCTTTGGTTCTTCATCTTATAATGTTGTTGCTGATAAATATATGGAGATAAAGAGGTCAAAACAAAGGCTATTATATCTTTTTAAAGTCAGCTTACATGGTTATAACGGTGAAAATAGTTTATTTCTTTAGAGGCTTTGGTGTCGTTTTGTTTGGTAGATAAAACCTCATTTCCTACATAGTTTTGGATGTTATGTAAAATGTTAGTAAAAACAGAATGTGATGATTTTTAAAACATTGAAGCCCTTTAGTTGATTTTGTTTTTTTGAAGCACAAAAAAAACGTATCAAATGTTGAAACTAAGAAGTTTTATTGTTTTGTGACAGTTAAAGTCGTGACAGTGACAACAAAAGACCAAAAAAGTTTTGAAAACCATTAAAAAAAACCACCCAGTGGAACTCCTCACAGTTAATGGTTTTACCTGGAAACAGCTGAGTAGCATGATGGGGTAAAAAAAAAGAGCGTCGGGAGAGGCCGAGTCTTTCTGAAGTAAAGATGGGGAGGGGTTCTCCACTCTGGCTGCGTTCACACTGCATGCCTTCATGCTCTATTCAGATTAATTTTTTTGCTCAGATGGATTTGTTTATTTGTCTGTTCACATTGCTTTTTTAAATGTGGCCTGTATCAGACTCCTGTGTGAACTGGTCATGATCCTGAAATGCCCCACACGTGCAAAAGAACATCCACAAACATGTCCCACACAGCACACTGTGGAGATCTGACTCGTATCTGATTTGGAGCCACACATGAAGGTGTCCCAAATCACTTTGGCTGCCTCACACTGCAGACAGAAGTGACCTGAATCTGTTGGGTTTTTTTTTGCTCCTATGTGATTCAGATCTGTTACAGGCCACATTTAAAAAGTGATGTGGGGGCGCCAGTAGCCAAGTGGTCCGTGTGAGCGTGCCTCATGTACAGAGGCTGTAGTCCTCCAAGCGGGCGGCCCAGGTTCAGATCCGACCTTTGGCTCTTTTCCTGCATCAGCCAAAAAAACCAAATCTGATCAGAGCATTAAGGCTTGTTGTCTTAGTGAAAGACATTAATGGTTAATTATGCAACAATTTCAGCCCGTCTTTAATGTACAGTTGTAAATATAAAGGGGGTTTCATCATCTCTAGTACATGATATTATTAAAAGATTCAGAACATCTGAAGAGATCTCTGTACGCTGGACTATATAAACAGGTTTTGGAGAAACAAATGCTGCCAAATAGACAACTAGGGAAGGCCTAGCTTATGTCATCAAGACAACGCTAAACCGCACTCTGGACGTTTCACACCAGCATGGTCTGGATGATAAACTGGCCTTCCTGCAGACCTGACCTGTCACCCAGTGCAAATGTTTGGAGCATTAAGAAGCTTACAACACGACAACGGAGACCCTGAACTGTTGAACAGCTGAAATCCTACATTGAGCAAGAATGGTGGTGAAAACATTTCACTTTCAGAATGACAGAAAATAGTCTCGTCAGTTCACAGAACACTTAACATGATTCAACAGAGTGGTAAACATGACCCTGTCCCAACTTCATATTTTCTAAAAACAATACATGTCTCAGTTTCAACATTCGATGTGTTGTCTTTGTGCGATTTTTAATTAAATCTGGGGTTTCCACATATTTGTAAATCATCATTTTCTGTTTTTTTTTTACAACATCCCAACTATTACAGGGGGTTGTAGATGAAGTGCAGCTGCATGTTTTTCTCTCTCTTACAGTGTTTTTTATCATGCTGAATGAATGTGCCAAAAGTCTATTTGTCCAACTGGCTGAACTCATCACAATGACTTTGACCCGGTTCAGCTCTCCTGCTGGGTTTGGCTCTGGTTCTTGGCCGTGTTTTTTATACTCTGTAAGACCAGCTCATCTTACTGTATCTTACACTGTACCTCACAAACTTTTTCTTTGTCTCCCTCTCTTTACCTGCCTCTCTCTCTCTCTCTCTCAGGAGGATGATGAAGGGCCCCTCGGTGCACCCGAATATGACACCATCTCTGAAAATGGTCTCTTGAGCCGCAACGAGCCGATACGCGCCAAGGTCTCCAAACTGACCGAGAAACTGCGTAAACGCTACCCCACCACCAGCGCAGGTCGGTGTGCTCTGACTCATCCACCACTTACATTTCCTCTCCTTAACTGTCGTTCTAAAAAGAGAATCTCTGTGAGTAAGCCTCATGTTTGAGCTCTGAGCGGATGCAGTTCATATAAAGCTATCTCTCTTTCTGTCGTCTTCTCCAAAGGCAACTGTTCGAACTGTAATGCCGTCTTCTCCGTGCTGAAGAAAAGGGTGAGACTAAAAAACTTGTGATATATTTAGGCATTACATCATCATTGTATTTATTTTCTCTCAGTGTAAGCTTGGCACATGCTTCACTGCCATGTGTGTGTGTCTTTCAGAGGAGCTGCAGTAACTGTGGCAACAGCTTCTGCTCTCGATGCTGCTCCTTCAAGGTGCTGAGGTCTTGCATGGGAGCAACAGGTAAACAAGGATGATAAAAAATACTTTTACTAGAAATATTGTTTAAGATAGTTCAATATTTCACACTGTGATATCCTAACTCTGCTGCTCTTGGGGTGCACTCACATTAGGCAAATCAATACTGTGTCTGAGCGAGTTTGAGCCCCAAAGTCCAGTTCCTTTATCTAGTGCGAGTGCTCCGTACACTTCCTTGGCCCTGGCACTGTTGGAAGAGGTGCGCTTCACCACGGTACCGTTTCTCATGCACGAGCACAAGCACGGGTTCACAATGTGAACATGAAGTATAATCGATCCCAGCCTTCCATTAACGAGAAATTCCGCGGCCGTATTCACAAAGCTTCCTAAGTAGAGTTGCTACTAGTGACACAATTCTAAGAAAATTATTAGAATCCGGACATTTTTTCAAGAATTTTCCCTCAAAGTGAGACTAGATCCTTGTAAAGACAACAGTTATTCACAAAGCATCTTAGCCCTGAAGAGAGCTCCTGAGGTGTAAAACTGTTAGGAGTAGTGAGGAGGACATTTAACCGGCTTAAGAGTTTCTCAAGCTGAGGAGAAAATGGAGATGTCCTTCAAAAACTACTTGAAGAATATGTTTTGAATACGGGCCCCGGAGTCTAATTGTTGTATCTGACCAAAATGACTGAAAAAAGGCCACAAAGTGCAGTAATATTCTCTGTGTTGTTCTCCAATGTTCAGACACAGACTCGACTGCATGTCCGCTTTTTACTTTTTTTTTTTGGGAATCCCCCTGTCTCGTAAACTAAGCACGCTTCCTTATCACGTAGAGCCATGCTTGAGTTGTATTACGACCGTATGTACAAATGTGAGAGCAGGCCAGTAGGGGAATGGAGAGAGGGTGGGGGGCAATCCTGGTTCAGCACAGTACGGGTCAACTTTGCCAAGTGTGAGTGCGCTCCTTGCTTTAACTTAGAGTCGTGATCTAACTCTCTTATTGTTTGTTTGTTCTTCAGCTCCAGAGGCCCAGAGAGAGACAGTGTTTGTTTGTGCTGCCTGTAATTCCTCTCTCATCAAGTTGCAGTGAGCTGGCGTGTCTCCAGCTGGAGATGATTCTCTCTTTTCCCCCTGAAGCTTACTCCAAGTCACTGAAACCCTCTCATGCCTTGGTTCTTTTTTAAGCTAAGGCACTTTGACTTCCTGTCAAAATACCTCCTAAGTTGAACTCCAACGCCCCCCACCCACCACCTTGCCTTGACCCGTTTCATCCCTCCTAGGAGCTATATATGTGTATCTTATCAGACTTCTTCTGTAATATGTTAAATATCTCCTCGTTCATCTCTTTAAATGAAGAACTGGACCTAATGACTCAATGCTACTTTCTACAGAGCACAATGGCTCCAAAATCAAAGGACCTTTTTCCTTTTGCTGAGTAGAGGGAAGTGCAAAGCTTGCAGGTTGGAGGCCAGCTTGAGTTGGTGGTGTCAGCTGAGACAAATCATGTTGAAGGCTGTCAATGGTTCTGCTTTCTCATGCTTTGCAACGAGACGAAGCTGATTTCACTTGAATGTTGATTTCTTCAGCCCCGTGTAGCAGATGAACTCTACTGTAATGCTGAGAGGACTTTACATTTGTCAACTGATGGACTGAGCGGAGGACGGCAGTTTGATTTTAGGCTTGTTGTGATGAAAAGATGGATGCACAACCGCAAGAAGATTTTAATTTGTCATTGTCTGATAACCAGAGTTGGTGCAGGCCTGTCAGTCAAACTTGTCCGAACTTTTGCCGCTCTGTTTACTGTCCACCAACTCAGTTATACCTGCAGCTCTTCAGCAATTTCATTCAATTAGTTCTGGGTTTGTCACCATTTTTAGGGATTTTTCGTTCTCATTTAGCTTCAGGTTTTACCTTATGTCTCATTTTGTTCATCACAACCTTGAGTCGGTAAATGTAGGGGCATTTTCTCAGAGCGTCATGTTCAAGAGCACAAAGGAGTTTTTAGAAAGCTCACCTACTTGAGTTTTTGTTTTCTTACCTGGTGTTCCCACCAGCTGGAGGAGCTCACGAGACATAATGGGAACAGATGTGACGTGTTAGAGAAGCTATGATGACTGTATGGCAGTACATGAATAGAGCACAGTGAATCATGTTACATTTTGGATGAGTTGCCCGTGATGGGGTTCTGAAGTGCCGTGAACAACACGTTTTCTAATGGACCATTTTGGTCAAAATCAGTCGGATCAAATTTGTGTTTCATTTCTGTGTCATTTTTCTTGTGACAAGATTTTTTGGAGTGAAATCGCAACCAGTAAAAAAAGTTAAAAAAATCTAACTGCAGGATGTCCCTGGAGCCTGCGCTTATCCTCTCCCTTGATCAACGTCGACCCAACTGGAATAAAATCTGTCGTCAGAGCCTCACACTCCTCCAAGCGGGACTTAGAAGAATTCATGTGGAGGCATTATAATCCAAAATTTGGACCTTGGTGGTAAAGTTGTTTTAATCATGTTTCAGACACTGATGATTGTAACTGTTTGCTTTGCTTTTATTGTAATCATATATAAGCTATGACTATAAAATGTTCTACTATATCTAATATATTTAATTTAAATTCTAGCAAGTGCAAAAACATATGTCACCTAATTCATTCTGTAAATATTGCCCTTATTTTAAGGATGGAAAATGCCATTATGAAATAAACTCTGTGATGGTTTGAGAACCTTTAAGCCAAAAAGTTTTTTTTTGTTTTTTTTTTTACTTTTAGGTTTCTCACAACCTCTGCTGGTAAAGTTTAGTTAGTAAGTTTATTTATAAAGCAGCTTTCAAGAACAGATGTCACAAAGTGCTTCACAATAAAGAATTAAACGGAGATATTACAAACAGACAGTCACATTAAATCAAATACAGACAGATTAAACAAAAGCCAGTCTGAACAGATGAGTCTTTATCTGCTTTTTAAAAGTGTCCTCAGAGGTCAAGGCTCTCAGTTCAAGCAGGGGGAAGACTGTTCCAAAATTTAGTTGCGACAACCTCAAAAGCACAGCCTCCTTGGTGTGTTACTTTCAGAAGTATGGAGACAAAGAACACATAATAATAATAATAATATTTAGAAGGTTTTTTTAAGGATTCATTTTGTTGCCTGACTTCGTCCAATTCAAACTGTGTCATCTGAATTTGGGCTTTAATGGACTCGACATGGCAGTCTACAACACACAGTATTAATACACATTCAGCCTTCATCAGTGTTGTTTCACAACAGAGCAGATGGATGTTAAAGGCAAAAACAATATCACTTCTCAGCAGTTTACAATACTCTTCCCTCAGCACAGAGCAGCCTACAGATCAGCTAGCGTCAGGGAGAAAATCAGTGCAGGGCATTAAACTGATTTTTTTTTTCGTTAGGCCTATGCAGCTGTGGCTCAGGGGTTGAGTCGGTCTAGGTTCAATCCTAAGCCATATGCTGTTGTGTCCTTGAGCAAGTCTCTAACCCGTATTTGCTTCTACTGCTTCATCAGCGTGTGTCTAAATGGATTAGTGAATACTCTTTATTCTCAAGATCTTGAGAAAAATAAATGTACTTACACATGAAAAGGAGTTGTAGAAAATGTCGTCTTAGGGCTTCCATACAAATAGGAAACTTTGCGTTCAATATTTTTAATGGGTCATCATTAAAGCTTTCAGTCACATGACCAGCACGGATGGCTGGAGGGCAAAAAGCTCTCAGGTAGCCTAGCAAAATAATTGGCTCCAACAAATGTCCTATGTAATGTATTCCCAAAAGGTAATGGGATAGAACCAATCACAGGACAGAAGGCGGGGCATAAACAGTGAAAATTGGGTTGGAATATTTACAGTCTATGGTTGGATCTTTAGCTTTGACAAAGCTTTTTAATTGGTCAAAAAGTCAAAGTTAAGACATCTTTATTGACACATTTTTCACATGTGCTGGACATACAGAAACATCGAAAAAACGTTTCTCTCTGAACTACAGTGAAAGCTAAGTATAAAAAGATTAAAAAATGTAATACATAAGAGTAACACTCCAGATTGCAGGATGAGTCATTTGTTTTACAAAAAGAGAAAATACAGTTATTTGATGATGTAAACATACTCAGCTAATGCTTTATTGTAAACACTTTTGAAGATAAAGGCTGATAGATTAACATTTAATACAGTAATGTATTGAATGGAGCCTCTAACTTAGAAAAAAAAAAAAAAGGATTTAATCAACAACTGGCTCTTGATTATGAAGCTGTCTCACTGCCGTGGCTGTTACTGGTTTCCTTTAGATAATGAAGCACATTTTTGATAGCAGACAAGATATTATATTCAGGGCAGCGTCCAACAAACGCACCGTGCTCGTCAAAGCCCCGCCCCCTTTCCCTCCCCCAGCCCTCCCCCCCTCCACTCCTCCAATCCGTCCCCGTGTCCCACTAAAGCGATTTCAGCGCATGCAGCCAGGGACTCGTCCCTGCGGCTACGGATGGCAACATGGCGACAGAGGTAAGCTTACCGTGTTTTATTTCCCAGCTTTGTAAAAATAAAAACAACATGTCAAAAAATGTGATTGAACAGGCGCGTGGGCAGTTAACACGGTCAATGAGGGCAACGAGGCTGCACACCGTTCAACTCAATCTGAAACACTCACTGAGGACGACACTGCCCTACATTATCATGCCAGGGTTGTCCGAGGCTGGTCGCTTTTTTTTTTTTTCCCTGTTCTGTCAATTTAAAGGCAAAAACATGCAACGCAATTTTAAAAGTCAGCTGTGCTTCATGGTGACAGAAATTGGGGGAAAACAGGGAAATACTGCTCGATGTTAAGCTGTTTTGGTGAAAGCAGATCTGTTGTTGTCTGTTGAGACGCCCCGTTAATCCGGTGACAGGCCACTGTATGCACACTGACCACACACACACACACACACACACACACACACACACACACACGCACAAACGAACACACACGTAGAGGATTCAGCACCATGGACAGCCGCCCTGACCTTCCTCATTGCGTTTTTGTACCGCCTGCGCTCTCCCATACAAAAACGTAAAGTATTGAGAAGGATATCTGTTTACCCAACATGCACTGTGTTGTAATCAACATGTCCAGCATTACTGTGAGCTGACAAGAGTTTGTGTGGCCTTTATCCATCTGCCTCATCTTGTTCTGCCTCATCGATCTGTTGTAGTGAAATGTTGTCTGTCTACTGAAAGCATTACTTCCCAGCAGGACCAGCAAAGGTGTGTGTGTGTGTGTGTGTGTGTGTGTGTGTGTGTGTGTGTGTGTGTGTGTGTGTGTGTGTGTGTGTGTGTGTGTGTGTGTGTGTGTGTGTGTGTGTGTGTGTGTGTGTGTGTGTGTGTGTGTGTGTGTGTGTGTGTGTGTGTGTGTGTGTGTGTGTGTGTGTGTAGGGGGGGTGATACTATGTCCAATACTGGGCTGTGCTCCAGCTGACAGCAACAGCAGACACTGGACCACACAGTGATTGATCACACCTTATCTGCCTCTCCTCCATCATCCACTACTTTTGAATCAGTCGACGTTTGTACACATTAGGAGTGAAAAGGCGCACTGAGAGGATTTATGAAATGCACACTGAATCAAATTTTGATATGTTTTTTTCTGCGTGTGTTTCATCCTCCCCAGTTCCACAATCTGCAGGAGTTGAGGCACAGTGCGTCTCTGGCGAATAAAGTTTTCATCCAGAGAGACTACAGTGAAGGAACCACCTGCAAGTTTCAGACCAAGTTCCCCTCTGAGCTGGAGAGCCGGGTGAGGACGCTGTAGCGTTTGGCTAAACCTGCACGCAAATGTATATGTGTATCATTTCTTTGCTATAACAGAATGTTGTGTGTAAAAAGACAAGCTGCAGCCGCTGGTGTTAAGATATTTAAGGGAGAATGTGCGACTTTTTGAGATAGATGTCGCCCTTAAACACCGGCATGAAACTAAAATAAACTGCTTTTTGGCGACATCCCTGCCATACTAAAAGCCTCTGATCTCATGATCTCTCTCCAACCCCCTCCCCCTCCCCATCGCATGAAGGAGTTATCAGTTAGCATGCTCCATAATTAAGCAACATTAAGCGCAATTTGTCTTTGACTCAAGCTGCAATAACCTGTATCCTGCATTGTTGTGTTAGCAGGCTAATGTTAGCGCTCTTTAGTCAGCTTGTAGCTTGCATGACATATTTAAATAGGCAGTAGTATGTTGACATTCTTTTCTGGACTAAAACAACTTTTAAATGCGAGGGGAGGAGCCAGCTGCCCCATCCATGTAAACATGATGTGAACACAGCTCTGACAACAACACAACCAGCGGGACTTGCACTTCTCACTCGTTGACAGTCATGACTCAGAGAGACATTTACAGAGAATATACTTGGTTTCTGCTAGCTTCTTCTAGCAGGTATTAGCGTTGTTTAAGATCTCAGTACAGAACTGATAATAGTAATGACCTTGTGATAAATCTATAAACACAATACGGAGATGTTCCTGCTTGGATTTTGGCCCGTGACCTTTTTTTTTTTTTGCAGGTCATGTCCCTCTCTTTCTCTTTACAATGTGTCTTGTCTGTGTTTCTACTGTTTATATCAAATAAATAAAAAAAGAGACATTCCTCAACAAATCCTAACTTTGCTTCTCCTGACCTCTGCTGTGTCTCCAGATTGAGCGGACCCTGTTTGAGGACACCGTGAAGACGCTGAACAACTACTACGCAGAGGCTGAGAAGATCGGAGGCCAGTCTTACCTGGAGGGGTGTCTGGCCTGCGCTACAGCATATCTTATCTTCCTCTGCATGGAGACACGCTATGAGAAGGTCAGACCTCTGGTCCTATAATAGACTTCTCTGGTATTCCACAACATTCCTAAGTCTTTATTTGTTTGTGTGTGACAGGTGTTGAAGAAGATAGCAAAGTATATCCAGGAGCAGAATGAGAAGATCTATGCCCCCAGAGGGCTGCTCATCACAGATCCAATAGAGAGGGGAATGCGTGTTGTATCCTTCCTTCATGTTTTTGGCATTACTATAATTAGCGTCCTTTTTTTCTGTGTGATTAACCACACACCACGTCTGCAAATTCTTGGTCCCTAACTTCTTCTCCATCAGATAGAGATCTCCATCTATGAAGACCGGGGCTCCAGTGGCTCCAGCTCAGGGAGCAGCTCCGTGTCCGGCAGCACTGCTCGATGACCGGGTACTTCCTGACCACCAAGTCCGCCTGATCACACACAAACTCTGGAGGAGAACTTAGGACAATAACACAACACCCGTTCCAACACTTCACCCACTCATCCCAAAGCTACGCTCACACAAAGGATTCACTAACTTTATACAATGATAGGCATTTAAATCCTCACGTGCCAACACATGCAAAAAAAAATGTTCCAAGCTTTTTTTCACAACATCCGCTTAAAACACACTTTTGTTGTTTTTCTTGCAAAGCAGTGTGAATGTGCTTAATGTCAGACGCCTCGGTTAAAAGACAAAAAAATGTCACTTTTCTTGTAAACTTTGTGTGATTGTACCTTCCCTCCACCTCGTCACCCCCTTCTTGAAGTTACCAGGGGAGAGAAAGGTGGAGGGATGAGGGAGGTAGGAAGTGTTGGGGCAGGAGAACGGACCACAAACCTCACCAAACCTCATACCTCAGCCTCCACTGCTGCACCATGCTGTCCTCAGCCCGGCTCAGACCACAACAGACCAACAAAGTACCTGGACTGAACTCGTCACCGCCCGCTTCGCACAACAGGCACTGGCTTTCCATTTTTATCTGTTGCTCCTCCCGAGTGTCTAGCTTTTAGGAAATGTAGACTGTATTATAGTAGCACATCAGCCATTTCCCCCTCCCCTGAACACCCATAATCTGTAAGAAGAAACCTCCTCCTGCCTTTTCTGCTGGTTAATATCGTACCATGTTGTAGCAGATGAATGTCATTCAGCCTGTCCATGTATATAATGTAGCAGATCTTTCCTTTTCTTACATTAAGCCACTTATTTAATTTGTTGGACATTCAAACACGCCAATCGAATCCTCTTGGTTTCAATGAACGAGACCAACTCTTCCTAAATTGTGATTATGCAAAGACATACTGCGCATTGAAAGCAGTTGTTGGTAGACGAAGGACGGGTGTCAAAAAGTCTTCCTGAACCATACCTTTAATGTTTCAAAATGTACCGACCCTTCCTTGTGTTCTGAACAAGCTTCCAAAGAACAACTACTGCCAAACACTGGCCCAGAAACGTCAATGTGTCTCTGATTTTGGTGACATTTTGTGCAGGAATAAACTTTCGTACTGCTTACTGTTAGATACATGTGGCAATGAGGTACATGTTTGACTGGTGTCAAATAAAAACAGTTTCATCACAGCTCTTGAGATCAAATTTTCTTTTAAAATAAACTGTAAATCCACGTCATTTATTTATTTTTTTAAATTATTTTATCTGAAAAGGGACAGTGTACATTAATCAACATTCAGACGGATGTAAATGTACCCGAATTGGCCAAAAGGCTAGTTTTCATCTGCAGTCCCTTTGCCAGATGTTATTTGGCATCATAGAATTAAATGTAACATTATGTTCATTAGAAAAGGAACCTAACAAGACAAACAAAACAAATAACAACAACAAGCACAGATATATACAATACAACTTTGGGTAAAAATAACGAATAATCTCCGACATGATGGTGAAGTTACCAAGAGTAGGTGCAGCATCAGTGTTGACATTGTTGGTTCTCGATGAGCCATTTTTTAACACTATATTTAAATGAATGATAGGATTTTGACTCTCAAATGAACTGAGGTATTAAATTCCACTGATGTGATGCTCTGAAGGAAAAGACACCCTGGCCGAATGTGGTGTTCCTGAGTGGCATTTGCAGCCCCTCCTAGCTGCTTATCATCAGCTGCTAACAGAAGGTAGCATGTGTTAATAAGAATGTTAAGTATTTAACTACAGTTGGGGCTGTTGCCTCACAGCGAGGCGGTTCCTGGTTCAATGCCCGTCTGACAGGAGCCTCTGTGTGGAGTTTGCATGTTCTCCCTGCGCATGCGTGGGTTCTCTGTGGGTTCTCCGGCTTCCTCCCACAGTCCAAAGACATGCTCTTTAGGTTAACTGGTGACTCTAAATTTGCCACAGGTGTGAATGTGAGTGTGGTTGGTTGTCTGTCTCGATATATCAGCCCTGTGATTGACTGGCGAACAGTTCAGACAGAGTGTACCCTGCCTCTCGCCTGATGACAGCTGTGTTTGGCTCCAGCCCTGTGACTCCAAACAGGAAAAGCGGTATAGATAATGGAAGGATGGCTACAGTTATGCCAGCAAATCATGACAGTAATCCTGCATGCACTGTTGCACGGCTCTGTAACTGGAAACCAGCTTTTATTAAAGCTGTGCTAACTGACATATTTAAATGAGTTGCTTGTAGTGATACTAAACAGAGGGAAGTTAAAGTTAGTGTCTGATGACTGTACTAATATGGACAATACATCTCTGTCTCCTCCTGTTGTACAAAAGTGAAGCCAAAATACCTGCGATGGACGCTGACATACTGTGCTGGTGGCGTTATTTAGAACCAAAAGATGTGCAGAAGTAAGTAAATCAGCATAATAATAACTATAACAACAGAATCCGGGTTTGAAAATACTTTATTTGATGTGTATTTTATCTTGGAAAAAGTTTGACCTGCCGTGTCAACAGTGGGAGCGCTAATAAATATTTTGGCTTAACTCCCAGGCAGCTATTGTTCCATCCATCTTAGGGCGCACTCACACTTGGCCCAGTTGGCCCGTACCGTGCTGAAGCTCCCCACTGGCCTGCACTCACATTTCTACAGGCCCAACTGGGTATAAGCACGGTTACCTCTGTACATACAACATCACGTCGTTATACGAAATAGTCACGGTTCATCACAAAGACCTCAGAGTTAGTATGGTTTTATCCAGCTGACTTGCGTCTGCCCAGATTTCAAGTGAAGCGTGTTTAATAACTATTGGAGCCCTTAAATGAGGTTGCCATCACTGTGCATGGAGAACCAAAATGAAAGCCCTGTCTCGTATAATCAGTAAAGCAGAAGTCAATATGTGTGTTTGCTAATGTTTCCAGAAAACATTTTTTGGTGGATTTAAAGTTATTGTAGTTTAATTCCAGTCCTTGGAAATATTTAGATGAACAACTGTGATATTCTTTCAACATTTTTTCTGCCTTATGTTATCTCCTCTTTAGCATGCCAAGTTGTTAGCCTCAGTGGTTCCCAGAGCCGAATAGTATAGCTAACTAAAATGTGGCATGTATTTCTTATTGTTCTGCAGCTGAATTCTCAAAACTACCAAGTACATAACATTCCTTATGAATACCACAAGCAATACATATCCATGCAAAGGCATCAAATATATAGTCTATCAGAGTATTGCATAGAACTTCTCTCAGAGTAAGAACCAAACGAGGCCTAAAAATAAAATCAGTAATGGCTATCTGGTCATTGTCACGGCTGTTTTTGATAAATTCCCGTGTGTTATCTTTCATGTTTTTCATTGTTTGGGACTCTCTATTGTCATTTCATTCAATCCAGATTTTTTAACAAATTTCAGAATAATAATCCAAAATTTACACCAAATAATTTTCTGAAAAAATAGGCAAAAGGAAATGATCAGCCCTTTTTTAATGTGTATTACTTAATACAACATTAAGACGAGCACGAGTTCAGAACCAAATGAATTGTTTACGACTAAAAAGAGATGCTAACTGTGACCTACTATAACCCGAGTAGTGCCTTTTCTATCAGTCCATTTGTCTGCACTAACAACTAAATCTTGTTCATATGATGTTGATGTGAGAGGCTTTTGTCAGGAAAATTCCTTCACGTAATCGTGCATCCTTTAAGGACTATTCAACCCTGCATCACTTTCATGTGATGCTATCAGACTCCCTGTTTCATCGTGTCACTGGGATATAAGTCTTCCAGCTTGATGCAGGCATGCAGTGCTGGAGAAAGGCTGTTTTACTGTGTCCCTAATAAACTCAAGACAACCATACCCGGACATCTGCCAGTGCAGAGAGCGCCGTAACACACTGGAGTAAAAGGGTCATAAATGGGGAGGCTCCAGAGGTGGTCACAGAGGCCGAGCGGATGCCATCGTAAAATGGAGCCAACGCTGCATTGGTTGGGGTAAGGAATGGGGGAGAACAAGAAAATATGAAAGACAGACATCAGATTAAGACTACACAGTGAGGGAGAAGAAACTGATGGAGATGGGAGTCAGCAGAAAGTAAATCGAGGAAAACATAAGAGAGGCATAAAGATGCAGAGGACACAGAGTTCATGTCTTGTTCTTACTGTTTTCATTCTCAGCTGGGTGCATGTTTTAGTAATAAGACCGTTATTAAAATATTCAGGCAGAGCTAGCTCGTCAGATATTGAAAAAATTGTGAACAGGATTAAATGGACAGACTCTAAGTACCGAAGACTTTATTTGTTGCAATCGATGATAATCCATACCATCACCATACTGATTTGTTGCAGTTTACTAAAGACATTTTTAGTTAAAAAAAGAAAGAAAATATTAAAGCTACCCATAGAGTAAAGAGAAAAAGGACTGTCCTTAAAGTACAGATAAAACAAAGCATTCTAAAATCAGGTTTTCTTTAACAGCTTTGCATTTTGCTCAGAAAGTTCGTATATGGAACTCCATCTGATTATCCTCACAGACCTGTAAAAAGATGAACAAAAACTGAAATTAAAAAAACAAAACAAAATATATTCTGCATAACCAGTTTAATTTATCTCTACGGCCCTTCAAGTCAAATATGTACATCAATCAAATCAAATCTTACCTGCACACTGGCCACTCTGCACGGTAAAACCTTTACCACACTGAACGAAAAAGAAAAAAGAATCACATCAATATACGAACAAAATCAATTAATACTGAGAATTACTTAGACTTAGAATTACATATATGTGCTGATCATTGAATATAAATATGGACGACTCATCTCTATCTCCTCACTTAGAAAAGATGAAGCCAAAATACTACCAAACACTGAAAGTAACAGCAGACAGTAATCCTGATATTAAACCTGATACCCACAAACATAAGCACACATCGTTTTGAAGGAATGGAAAATCAACAAGCCGGTGCTGCAGCTCCACAGAGTGCTTGATGGTGGCTGCCATATGCCTAAACTCTTTTTGCCCTCCAGGCCTCCACCCCAGTCAAGTGACCCAAAGACTTCAATCCCTTTCACTAACCGAAGCACACATTTAACCTTACAATAATACAGCAAATCATAACATTCCTCTGGCTCTTTTTAGCATCAAACAACAAATTAACTTTTCAGACACGTCTTATCAACACTGATCACATCAGCGTGATAAGAGCGCACTATAATGACAACTATAAAAAAAACTGTACTTGAATTTAAAGTTTCTTGTTTAATGAATTTGCCATCTGTTAACATGGAGGAGGCGGAGCTTATGACCTATACAGCAGCCAGTCAGCAGGGTGAAGTTAAAATGTTTTGGCTTCACTTTTGTGGAGATGTCATGTTGTCCATCTTTTTATACTGTCTTTCTTGCTGACTGGACAAAAAATGACAGTAAGAGAGAAAGTGGAGAGGCTGACTCATCAGAGAGACTGACCTGAATATTAACCGTGTTCATAATTCATGCTGTAGATCCCCTCTGCGTACCTGCGTGTCGTTGGCAAGCACAGCTGTTTCCCCTTCTTTGGGATAGGTGACTTCCACCACTGAGTTCATTTCACCAGGCTGCAGGGTTCGAGTGAAGGAGCTGCCATCTGGCCAGGAGACCTCCAGCACCGTGACCTGATCGTTTCCTGAGAGTGATGGGAAGATATGTCAGTGATCATCACACATCAGGGAAAAGAACTCTCAAGAGTTTCATCGTTTTCTGTTTGTCTAAGGACAAACCACAAGTTGATGATGACCATGTCTGTGAATTTTAAAATGTGAAAGAAAGTTACCTAAACCAAAGTGGGCGACAGGCTCCATCTCACACAGATACCCAGAGCCTCCGTCGATGATGCGAGTGTGAGCTCCGCTCTGACTGGTGAAGGCCGTGACCTTGGCTCCTCGGGCGAAAGCGCCAAACCGGGTGCGAGGGATGACCCGCAGCCAGTTGTTGGATGAGCCCTGATGAGGTTAGACATTTAAAGTTGAAGAACATTAAAAAAAAAAAACAACATTGGGGAAAAGCAGCTCAGTGTTCAAATAAAATACAGTGATAACCTAAAATTAAATTATTTCTAAAAGTTCAATTTCTATCACTCAATCCTTCATTTCCTTTTTTGCTAACTTTTTATGGCACCATGTCACAACTTTCTGCTATACCATTAAGTTTTATTTTGGATTTACGCTTATGTGACAGGTCAAAGTTTATATTGCAAAGATATCTGATATAGTCTTTATATATTAATCCAGCTGTTTTCGATATCTTCTTGTTTGTGGCACCTAAAAAAAGGTGTATTTGAACGGGGCTCATCTGCATTTTAGAGTAGAATTAAATAAAAAAAAATCAGTATTTGTAAAGCACTAATTCATAAAAATGTATACCTCAAGACAGTATAAAAACCAACAGGTATTTACAAAGACCCAACATTATTTTGCCATGAGCCTAGAACTTGGCAATGTTTAGCAAAGTAACAATGGTAAACTTGCTAAAAACTGCCTACATAATCAGAAACCTGGAGCAGACCAGGACTCATGCTGAGCAGCCATCTGCCACAGCTGTGCTGGGCTTGGAAAGTGGGATAGAGGGAAAGGAAGAGACGGATAGAGACACAGAGCTTTGATATCAAGTTTGGATAGAAGCAGTAGAAGAAAAATGTAATTCAAATTTGGGTATTGTAGTTGTTTTCCCTCTGCTTTCCATTTTCATTTACCAACTTGTGAGACTACGGTTCATTTTATGACCCTTTGAGCCCAGAGGTTAGGAAATTGTTGGGACAGTGTTGCTTGTGTTCATCTGCATTGCATTGTGTTGTAGTCAAGACCACACTGACTGAGACCAAGACATACCTGACACCAGAGTGCTCCGAGACCAAGACAAGACCAAGACATTTAGGGATCGAGACAGGGCGAGACCGAGACCGAGACAAGACCAAAGAAAAATCATTATCTTGTGTGCATCGGGTGTGTCACTCACTTAGACCATAATATAGAGAAGGTTACGGCCGTAACCAGGGATAAAAATTATATTATGAATGAAAAGAAGTTTTTCAATCTTTTAGAAAGAGGAATTATACTTCTTACCTCAGTAATGACTTGGAAAAATAGCCTGTCAGGGGTAGTCTGAGACCGAGACAAGACCGAGTACAAATGCTTTCGATTCCGAGACAAGACCTTCAAAAAGTGGTCTTGAGACCAATACCGATTTCAAGCACTACAACTGAGAGTGTTGATCTCTCAACATAACATATAGTAGTTGAAACAAGCTCCACTTCAATAAGCTACTACAGTACATGTCTGCTAAAGAAATAATCAACCTTATAATTTCACATGTGTGTTTATGTTTCAGTATCAGGGTACATTTGGTTGTAGAAGGGTACTATGAGGCTCCAACTACATTAAGTCTATAATACATTAGTACAATTACTTTAAATACGTCTTCCAACACACACTCTAAGAAATTGCTGTAAATTAACAAGGAAATTTCAACAGTATGATCCTGTTATGTTTAAATACAGGACATTACTGTATTAAAACGGTTTATAACAATATTTTACAGTATTATTGCTTGAAGGAAACAAAGCGGTAATTTAACGTAATTTTTGCAAAGCATTTTGGGAAAAAGAAGTTGAGAACACATGGTTGAAAGGACAGTGGACAGGTTGTTTATTCAGTTATGAAACTATAACAGATTTTTTTTCACTTCTCTGTTTAAAATGTAACTACCAAAACTCTTTTATGCACTTTATATACATTGGAAATAGCTTTTGCTAAATGCCTTAATGTAAATATTTATGCAAGATTCTTTGCCTATTTAACCTTCATGTTCTTAAAGTGTATTTTCTTTGTTTAAAATAACAGCTTTTTGCTGTATTTACAAAAACGGTAGAAAACTATAAATTTCAGCAACAGCAATATATCGTTAATTTTACAGTAACTTCCTGGCAACCCTACTGCCAGTTGTTTACCGTTTTTTAACAGGGGAATACAGGGGAAGAGTACAACAAAACAAACAAACACATGCCTACAGACCTGCGTGACCTTAAAGACAGAGATTGGCTGCCTGGCGCTCTCTCCATGTGCCAGCAGCAGGTCCAGCTGTCCGTCCCCGTCCAAGTCTGTCACAGTGCCACCTGTCCAAAACAGGAAACAGCTTTCTCTTCTCACTGACATACATGAAAACTTCACTTTGGCATGACTTCTGAGTCTCTCAAATGTATCCAAAGAGAGGTTGGTAGGTAAATAAAAAACGTAAGTTATAACAATATGTTGTTAAATGTCATCTTTTCTGATTGAAGACTCAGCTGACCTGTTCCTCGTCCCTGAGGCTCTGCAGCGTCGCCCACATTAAGCACCTGAATCAAAGGGTCTGCATCTGCCCTCCTTGACACCCTGAAAACAAACACACCTGACAATAACTATGAGTACGCCTTTGGGTTTTTTAATAGTTTGATGCCTGTCATTGGACCTCAGATTCTCATAATAATTCCAATGTTAACCTGAACAGCCTGTTAGGGGAGAGGCCATTGTAGGCTATATTGTTGAAAAACACCTCCAGCTCCTTGTCGTTGTCAAAGTCAGCAGCGATGACCGTGCGTATGGGCGAGGGAGTAGCAAATTCTCTAGTGGCTATGTTCTGCAAAACAAAAGAAAGTTAAGTATTGCTTCATAAAACTGGGTGATTACTATCACCCACTTTCTGTGCATCTTCTATCACTCCTTCTTTACCCGAAATTTAGAGTTGCTGCCCTGCAGGAAAAGTCTGTGTGGGCCATTCCAGTTGCCGTAGACGATGTCTGTCTTTCCATCGCCATTGAAGTCAGCCAGGGCCAAACCTCTGCCATGCTGGGTCACATCATCCACTCCTGTCAGCAAATGCAATTGTAACAACCCCTAGTTAAGCTAGTGCAGGAAAATCTGTTCACTTTCATCTTGACATGATGCCAACAGAGAGAATGCATCTTAATTCAGCATCCTATCATTGGCTCATGAGCACAAAACTAAAGGTACAGAAGTATGGAAAGCCGATTGAAGATTTAATAGATATCCTTGATATCAAAGCTCAGTTTCCTGTACTAGTCAAGTCTTTGGCCACATTAGTTTACTAGTAGAACGTTGAAAGACTTACTAGTAAACTAGTAGAAGGCAAAAAGTCCTACATGTTAACTAGTAAGGTGCAAAATATCTACTAGTTAACTAGTAAGATATATTTTGTGTCTACTAGTTAACTAGTGAGCCTAAAAATGTTTACTAGTTAACTAGTAAGAGCAACAATGTCCACTAGTAAGCTAGTTTGACTCTTTTTAACCTTACTTGTAAACTAGTGAGGTTCAAAATGTTTACTAGTTAACTAGTAAGACCCAAATGTCCACTAGTATCACTAGTGATGCAGTTACAAATTTTACTAGTTTACTAGTGAGGCTCTTAAAGTCCACTAGTTAACTAGTTAGTGCAAAAAGCCAACTATATGGAAAGCCGATTGAAGATTTAATAGATATCCTTGATATCAAAGCTCAGTTTCCTGTACTAGTCAAGTCTTTGGCCGCACTAGTTTACTAGTAGAACGTTGAAAGACTTACTAGTAAACTAGTAGAAGGCAAAAAGTCCTACATGTTAACTAGTAAGGTGCAAAATATCTACTAGTTAACTAGTAAGATATATTTTGTGTCTACTAGTTAACTAGTGAGCCTAAAAATGTTTACTAGTTAACTAGTAAGAGCCAAAATGTCCACTAGTAAGCTAGAAAGGCATATATATGGACCATACTAGCTAACTAGTTAGGATAAAAAGTTTTTACAAGTTAACTAGTAAGAGCAGAAAGGTCCACTAGTTGTACTAGAGATGGCTTTATTAGTCTTACTAGTTAACTAGTGCGGCTCTAAATGTTCACTAGTTAACTAGTAAGAGAACAAATGTCCACTAGTTGCACTAGTATCATCTTTACAAGTCGTACTAGTTAACTAGTGAGACTTAAATATTTTACTAGTAAACTAGCTAGATCTAAAATGTCACTAGTAACACTTGTTGCACAAAATGGTAACGAGGAGGTGGGGGATAAGTGTGGATTGAGGCTTATGATAGGCTCTAAAAATCAAAACAAAAATAACATCAAATCAGGACCCAGGATTTGGTTATAATCCCACCCACTGCATTTACATATTGCACACTAGTCAACTAGTTGGATTGCAGGATTAGAACTATCTTACTAGTCGATATCTGTTTTCATTTTACTAGTTAACTAGTTAGACACAAATGCTAACTAGTTAACTAGTTAATCTCATAATGGTAACTAGTAACACTAGTGAAGATGCATTTTACCTTTCTAGGTCACTAGTAAGATAAAATGTGTCAACTAGTAACACTAGTTGGAATATTTTTAAACCTACTAGTTAACTAGTGAGGCTCGGAAACGTTTACTAGTTAACATGTAGCAGCTAAAATGTCAACTAGTCACACTACTGAGGGCGGTTTTAACCTTACTAGTTTACTAGTAAAGCCCTATACAGTTTACGAGTAAACTAGTAAGTGCCTTTTTGTCCACTAGTTAAACTAGCTAGTGTCTTTTTGGCCTCACTAGTAAACTAGTTGAAGACTTTGTGTGGCACTAGTAAACTAGTTGCAGACAAAACAGCATACTAGTGGACATTTGCTTTTGACTAGTAAACTAGTTGAATGATATAATTTGACAAGTTTACATGCTGAACAGTTAAAACCCTTTACTAGTTAACTAGTTGAACACAGATGTCAACTAGTAGTCTGATCTGTTGACTACTAGTTAACTTGTGACTGACAATTTATCTAACTAGTTAACTAGTACTGCCAAAAAGACCCTTACTAGTACAACTAGTGGACATTTTGCAATTACTTATTAACTAGTTAACTGTGTTTGGCCTCACTAGTTAACTAGCAAGGTCACACATGGTCTAACTGGTAAACTAGTGGACATTTTGACTCGTTCTAGTTAACTAGTATGCATTTAAAGCCTCACTAGTTTACTAGTAAGGCCTTGAAGACCAAAGTAGTGATACTAGTGTGCATTTTTCTTTCACTAGTACTACTAGTAAACATCTTGAGCCCTACTTGTTAACTAGTAAGGTCAATTAGACTGCAACTAGTGGTACTAGTGACATTTATGCCCTTAGTAATAAACTAGTTAAGCTTTTTGAACATCATTAGTTTACTAGTAAAGTCGAAATGTGTTTTACAAGTGTAACTAGTGGACATTTGGTCCTTACTAGTTTACTTGTAAATGTCAACTGGCAGTCCACTAGTAGTACTAGTAGCACTAGTTGACCGCATGATAATGAAGCAGGCGGACAAGGATTTTGATTGGTCAATGTCAAACCTGCGATTTTGCCAGCCTTAAAGGGCCAGATCTGAATAGTACCTTCGGTTAAACCAGCACTCATTTCTGAAGGTTTGTTCATTTGTGTCATGTTATATTATCACTAAATGGTAACTCACTGAATGCCCTTTGATAGAATTTTATGACCCATGCACAGATTAAATCCAAATCTGATGTTACATTGTTATTCATCTTTTCAACTTTTTTGTTTTTTAAACTTAGTATTATTTGTTCTAAAAATCACTAATGATTATTCATTATTGCAGTATTTGTCAAAAAATAAACAATAACCCATCACTTAATATTTATATATAGTAGTATGATTGAATAAAATAAAATCTTGCACAACATTAATGTTCAAGGATTTTAGCTTTTTTCTTGCCATTGAAAATATGGCAATATAAAATATGAAAGATATACTAGTTTGAAACTTGCAAAGTGAAAAATTAAGTATATTCTTTTTAAATCATGAAAGAAATTTGTTTATATTTAGTTTGTCTGCTAGATGATCATGCAAAATATTGAATAAAATATTAGGATTTAGGACAAGTGTATACTGAATTATTAAACTAATGTGAATAAGATGTTTTAATGTTTTTTTTTATAAATATAAAGTCAGCCTCTTACATCTGGAGAAATAACCCTTATACAAGAAGTAGCTGCAGAGAGATATGCATTTCGGCCATTAGGTGTCAGTTGCAGGATCGGTATGTTATGGACTTGCTAAATTTTCTTGGTTTAGCTTCGAGTAAGCCCAGCAGAAAAGATACATATGGCAGTGAGCAGATATAAGTGCACAAGCAACATACATTAAGATTTATTTTATCATATGAGGAGTCATGTTTTTATGATTAAAGCATAAAATTAAGATACTACTTGCAAATGCCCACCAGATGGTGCTATATATGCTGCTAATGTGTACAGTACTAGTACTACTAGTGGACATTTAGGCTCTTACTAGTAGCACTAGTAGCACTAGTAGTACTAGTAGCACTAGTTGCACTAGTTGCACTAGTTGCACTAGTAGTACTAGTAGCACTAGTTGTACTAGTGGACATTTAGGCTCTTACTAGTAGCACTAGTGCTACTAGTGCGACTAGTGCGACTAGTGCTACTAGTAAGAGCCTAAATGTCCACTAGTAGTACTAGTGCTACTAGTACTACTAGTGCTACTAGTGCGACTAGTGCGACTAGTGCTACTAGTCGCACTAGTAAAGGCCTAAATGTCAACTAGTAGTACTAGTACTGTAGACAGTATATGTACGTATAGCACCATCTGTGGGGCATTTGCAAATAGTACAATTTTTAACCTTTACTGTACATGATAAAATTAAATTTTTAGGGCTCATTTATACAATGGAGTAGAGCCATCTTAAAGAAAAAAAGAGAAAATATTAATCTTGTATATGTACGAGAATAAACATGTAAATTTAGGAGAATAAAAAAATGATGAAAGGAGAACCCCTAAAGCATTTTCCTCTGCCACAAAAGAGACAGTTTCATCCAAGTCAGTGTGGTTTTTTCTTTGGAAAATTACAGTTGCTTCCAGTATCTTTTCAGGGTCCTAATATTTTATGACAATGTGATGATGATGTGCTGATAAAACAACTTATCGGATATATTTGTCAAACTGTTTTTACAGACTACACAAGGAAGGAGCCTATTTCCTTATTTGTCAAACCTTTACTATAACAAGATGCTCCACGTTTATCATTTTCGAACAGGCGGCTCCTGCTCTTCTGATATACCAATATATTCTACTATTATATTATATAATACATTATATGTTCAAGTATTCAGCTGTTTTATGAAGGGAAATGTTTAAACTATTTAAGAAAATACTAAAGGGGACTTTGTCTCAATCATAAACAGTGTAGAGTATTTTAGTGTTTTTAGTTTTTTTATTTTTAGTCTCAAATGCAGCCTCAAAGGCTGATGTAGCTGCAACTAAACCTGAGATGAAAGATAATCCATTTATTGTTTTAAAATGAACCTGTATGAGCTTAAATATTAGATGTTTTAGTCTCTGTTTGTTTACCTATTAAATACTGAAGCTTCTAACTGAATCTTCTTGGTTTTAAGTATTTATTTTCACACATCTGAGATATGTTAAGTTGCAGCTGCTTACAAGACCCAACTTCCTCATTCATCTGCTTCAAAATAAAAGCACATCACATAGATGGTAATAAGGGACTTTTATTGTGAAAGACTTTCCGGAACTAAATGCGTTTATCACTCGGAGCTGCAGCGGCGATTGTAGTTGCGAAGGCTGTAGTGAGAAAGAGTACTCAGCCACTTCCTTGCCCAAGAGTTAGAGCCACAGCCAACTTATTTGAATCATCTTGGACTTAAGACAATGAGACATCAGTTTATAAACACCTTCAGCAGGTAGACCCACAGTAGTGGAGGTGCTTATCCGTGCTAGCTGAAGTGGCACCGAGCCAAGAAAAGGGTCTCTGTCTGTCTGTCTCTCTCTCTCTCTCTCTCTCTCTCTCTCTCTCTCTCTTTCTCTCTGTCTCT